CATACGAGAGTGGTACACGTGTGCGGGATATTGATACGCGTTAAGAATAGGTGCTAATGAACGTCGGCTGGTTGGTTACGCTCGCTACGAGGCACACGGCCTCGGTAGCCTTCTTAGGCTCAGTTATGCTGTCGCCGGCGACTCACGGGCCGACCGACCACATCCCTACCTCTCAAGGACTCATTTATAACCCTGTGGTGTCTAAAGTCATTAAACCGTACTAGGGTTCAGGCGATTCTGCTCGGATCTAAAAATTACTCAGATCGAAAAAGTTTTGACTAGGGTTTTCTATTTCACCGGGTAAACCTACTCATTTTGAGCCGAAACTTTAACCCTAAGTTCAACATGATTTATAAGGAATTGACATCTAACAACTTTAGCTAAATCCCAACCAAAAAAAATACTAAGAATACGGCAAAATGAGGCTAAAGATCTGAATTTTAATCTATATCAAACAACTTCCAAAAATCATGAAATTTTAATCACATCAATTAAAACATATATATGATTTGTGGTAGAAATCCTAAAGCAAGAATCAACTACTAACTCAGTCAACAAAAATCCGGCATTATCGGTCTAGATTTAAAAATCTGGTTCGTATAACAAACAAACTCCAAACTTCACCATATTTTGACATAAGCCTCAAGACAATATAAAAAGATTTATAGAGTTATAATCATAATTTTTAAACTAGCAACCAATTTAATACGAATTGTTAGCCATTTAACTTAATAAATCTCTAATAAATTATATCTCACTCAAATTCATCACTTGGCATTTTTCAAATAATATAAAATTCATGCCCAAGCTCATGGAGTAAGAGTTTCAGCCATTATACCTCTTAAAACACAAAAATGAAAATCTAAAGAAGGATGAGCTGTGAAGGGTCGCGACCTTGGATCTGGCCTCTACTGAAAGGGTACGCGCGTGGATGTTGGGCTTGTTGGGGGCGGTACGGATGCGCATGCTACGGGTGTGTGACGCAGGATGGCAGGCTGCGCGGTGTGTGTGGGCGTGTACGAGAGACGGCGTACGGACGCCTGCTGGGATCTGCGCGCGACTGCATGACCTGGGAGCGGACCTGGTGAGCTGGACGGGCTTGGGCACGAGCAGGCTGGGGTAAGGCGGGATTTGGGAGCTTTGACTAAGAAATGATATTTTTACTATGGAGATGATGTATTTTTGCTAAGAGATGATATATTTGGTTATAGATCTAGGGTTTCTTGAAGATGAAGATGAATGGTGGGCTAGAGTTTGGTGTTGGGAGACTGAAGATGGTGATATATATATAGAGAGAGATGAGAGAGTGTTAGGGTTTTTTTTTGTAGGAATTGGGCCTAAAAATTGGGCTTGTAATTTATTTGACTTGCGCTTAAAAATAAGAATGCTACTTGGGCTAAAATTAAATGTTTGGCTAGATAATTTTTTAACGGGCCTTGACTAAAATAATTTCTCAGACTGAATATATAAAAAAAATGGGCTCAATTAAATGGGTTGGATGATTTGGACTCGAATTATTAATATGGCTCGAATTATAAAAATGACGACTCGATTAAATGGGTCTACTTGAGCCGAAATAAAATGGCTCGAATATAATGATTGGGTCGAGGTTCGGCTCGTCCGGGCTTCGACCCGACTTACATAAAATCCTAAATTTTTTCAAGACTAGGTTTCATAAAAATAAAACCGATAGTTGGGCAAAATAAATTCGATTTAAAAAAAATCAAATGAAATCTCCATGACTTAGACTTAAAATTAAATACTCAATTTATTGCAAATAATAATAAATAAATGCATCAAATAAGGAAGTTTGTTATTTATGGAAATAAATTCGAGCTCCATAAATATTAAAAATATTTGGGGCGTTACAGTCTATCATCCTTAAAACATTCCGTCCTTGAAAATGCCAAAACTAAACCTAAGTCCGACTCGACTATAAGTTGAAATATGAAAGTACAAATCAGAACACGAAATCAGGATATCTAGCTCCAATCTCATTCTCTCACTCCCACGTGGCCTCAGCGTCCCTGTGGCGAGTCCAACGGACTCGAACGAGCACTACATATTTGTTCCTCAGTCGCTGAACCTTTCGGTCTAGAATCGCTATTAGTTGCTCTCTTAAGTCAGGTTCTGCCCAACCTCAAGCTCGCTGAAGCTCACTACGTGCCCTGGATCATGCACGTACTTCCTCAACATCGACACGTGAAAGATGTTGTGCACACCCAAAAGCTCAGGAGGCAACGCCAAATAGTATCCTACCTCGCCCACATGCTCGAGAATCTCGAATGGGCCTATGAAATGGGGCCGCAGCTTCCCCCTCTTCCTGAAGCTAACCACGCCCTTCAATGGTGTGATCTTCAGGAACGCTCTATCTCCCTCCTCAAACTGGAGGTCTCGCCTACGCTTGTAAGTGTGGAACTTCTGTCGATCCTGTGCTACTTTCATCCTTTTTCGAATCACAACGACCTTCTCCACGGTGTCCTCAATTAGCTTCGGACCGAGAACCTGTCATTCGCCGACCTCATCCCAACAAAAGGGGAGATCGACACTTGCGACCGTACAAAGCCTCGTACGGTACCATCTTGATCGATGCATGATAGTTGTTGTTGTACGCGAACTCAATCAGCGGCAACCACTTCTCTTATGTACTACCACAGTCCAGAACACAAGCTCGAAGCATATCCTCGAGTGTCTGGATGGTCCGCTCCGACTGTTCGTCGGTCTGCGGGTTGGTAAGCTGAACTGAACTGCAGTTGTGTCCCCATGGCCTCATTTAGGCGCTCCAAAAATCATCCGGTGGAACGGGGATCTCGGTCTGATACTATAGTCACAGCTACTCCTTGGAGTCGACAATCCCATGGATATAGATACTGGCAAGTTGCTCCATGGTCATCGTCATCCTCCCGGGCAAGAAGCGGGCCGACTTCGTCAGTCGGTCCACAACTACCCAAACCTCATCGTGCTGCTCCTTCGATTTGGGTAGTCCCGTAACGAAATCCATGGTGACATGCTCCCACTTCCACAACGGGACCTCTAGGGGTTGAACTAATTCGGGTGGAAACTTATGCTCGGCTTTCACCTACTGGCAAACCAAGAAATTTTTCACGAATTTTGCTACATCCTTCTTCATACCCCTCAATCAAAATGACCCTTTCAGGTCCTGATACATCTTGGTGCTGTTGGGGTGCGCCAAATAGGGTGTACTATGCACCTCGGACAAGATATCCATATTCAGGGCCTTCACGTTCGGCACTACGATCCTCCCGTTGTACTCCAAGGCACCATCTGTGCCTCGGTAAAGTCCCTCTACTCCGACATGAATCTTTGCACTCACCGTGCGAATGAAAACGTCAAAGGACTGATCCCGCCGGAGGCTACACTCTCATCGATCGAATACCTCATACTAGCTTCAACTTGGGAAGTGACTCTTAATTGATGCGTACTCTTAAGTCGTGATATAATATACAAGCATATATATATATATATATATATATATATATATATATATATATATATTCATACTTGTTTATTTGATTTGCCAAGAGTGCTGCCTATTTTATTAGGATGACGTACTCGTTATTTTGGTAAATAATAATGTTTATATGATGTGATGTTGCAATTATTAACGGTCACTGTGTCCAAGTGCGCCATGTTGATGGCATCCCCGATATGAGCTCAGGAATGAGTATTATGTTAAGCCCTCAGATTAATTTTTGACATAATGATTAAGGAACTGAGTGGTACTAATTTCGAGTCATGCGGGATAAAAGAAATTGATTAATTTTATTGTCAAAATTTTAATTAATCAATGGACGTTATATATTAAACATGTGGATGGTAAATCGATCAATTAAATTAATATTATTCATGAAGTAGGAGTTTGATTTTACTGAATAAATTGGAGCTAAATGGGAAGAGCAATAATAGTACTGTAGTTGAGTGTTTAATATTTAATTCAATTAGGAGATTGGAATTAATTTATTCTCTATTAATATTTTCCTAATTATAAGAATTTAATCCATTCTAGAATATTACTAAAGGTTAGGAGACTTGGGAGTCTTCTTAAAAGGGTAATTAGGTTAGAAAGAACTAGGTCTTCTAGAAGGCAAAAGAGTTGGAGAATATAAGATTTCTCAACCTTAATTGGAAATGTCTATATTTCTCCCTAATGTAGCCTATAAATACAACATGTCCCAACCTTTCTTGCAAGTTTGTCTTGGCCGATTTTAAGGTTCTAAAAGAAGAGGAAAATCATGCATTACATATATATTGAGAGTTCGGGAGTTCCGTTTAATTGCACCACCAAGATTATCCAAAGTAAGATTATAAGGTCATACATTAGAAGATTTTAAGGTCCAATATATTTCTAGCATCCCGACGAATTTATTATCATCGGATTTATTCCAGTGATCCCTCAAGCCGCTGGAAAATCCATAGTGACTTTAAGTTTGTTGAAGGTTACCTAGGAACGAAGTCGCTCTATGTCGTGTATCTTCCCCTCGCCGCCACACATCGCCACTAGAAACCGCACGTAGCCGCGCCCAGCCACACGCCGCATTGTGACCTCCCAGCGAACCGCTCCCGGTCACGACCTCCCAGCGACGCCAGGCCCGAGAACTTCACACCCCGTGTTTCTGTGACTTCCAGCAGCCTTGTCGTGCACAACCCGACGATCTCGAATGCCATCAGCACGCAGCTCCCGCACGCGACCTATGCACGCTGGATACCAGCGCCCGACGCGCACAACAGCCAGCGATCCCTACGCACACCAAACGCCGCACGCCAGCACGCAGACGCGCACGCTCGACCGCACGCACACCGGTTGCCACCTGCAGTGCCCGACGCACGACCTGCTTACAGCCAATGAACCCGCAGCGACCTGCACGTACCTAGGCAGCAGCCGACGTGCGACGATTCTCGGCGACCCGATCGCGACCAGACGACTTCTTGACGACTCGTGATCAATCGAGGAGCGCTAGTCCAGCTGCCCAACAGACTCTGCGGTTCAGATGGTCTCTTACAAATAAAATCTACAACGTCACATATTTGGCAAAATTTTAAACGGTAATGTCCTAATCCTTACTATAGATTCTGCTGCGTTAGGATTTAATCTGTTGGGTTTGGATGGGCATGTCGATGACATTTTTAATAGAACCCAACAACTAGGCTTAAAAATAAAGGTGGGTTAGGTTTTAGGTACATCAGAGTTTTCAATGATGCTTTAATTGTAAAGCTGTTGTGGAAAATCCTAACTCAACCAAACCTTTTAGTGAGTAAGTATCCAAGGGTAGATATATGCATAAGAAAACTTTTTTGTTGTTGAGCTTAATTATGGGGATTCTTGGCTTTCGAGGAGTTAGTTAAGGTGCAGAGATCTTTTTTAGGTCTGGTTGTTACTATCAGGTGGGGGACGGGAAAAACATTAATAAATGGGATTCTTCTTGGTTGTTATCTAACCCAAACTACAAGCCTGATTGTCATTTTATGATTGACAAAAAGAGACTGCATTGGGTGAATGATCCCATCATTTTGATCTTTTAAAATGGAAGAGAATGAGACAGAGACCTCATTAGGCAGACCTTTAATCCCAGTGAGGCTTCTCATATCCTTCAACTACCCATCTCAATGAGGGGCCAAAAAGACAAACTCATTTGGCACCATGATAGCAAAGGCAGATTCTCAGTGAAATCGGCTTATTCAGTCTTCTTGACCAAACGTCATCAAACCATTGGAGAGGCTAATTCTAGCTTAAGAAAGGACAAGAGGAAGAGAATGTGAAGATTCACTTGGAAGATTCTAATAAAAAACAAGGTAAAAAGCTTTATGTGCAGACTTCGGTTTTATAATCTAAGCACAAAGGCTCAACTGAAGAAAAGAGGTATGATCAACGATGGGGTTTGTGGTTTATGTAGGGAGGAAGAGGACGATTCTGATAATCTGCTCTTTAGATGTGTTAGGGTCAAGATGTATTGGAACCTTAGTGGGTTGTCTTGGGTTGACTTAGAGAAACAAAATTATTCTTTTAAGAACTGGTGGTCGGGTATTTATGTAGCAGGGATTTCAAAATCCATCAATGATCGTTTTCTTCTCCTACATCATGTGGTGGTTGTGGAGAACTAGAAATGAGTGGTTATTTAGGAAAAAAATTTGTGGCGAAGAAGGAGCTGGTTGAAGGGGCAAGGAGAGAATGATTAGAGTATAGTGGAGTTTTTTTGCCAGGCTGACTCTAAGGTTGTGGCCAGAGTGGGAGATAGACATCAGAGTGAGAGAGTTTTCTCTTGGGGTAGGACATTTGTGTGTTTATGCCGGTGTCACCATCTTCTCCACTGGGATGATCAAATTGTGTGTTGTTGCTCTGCTTCAAAACCAAGAGATCAAGAGATTGGTTGTTGAGGCCTACGTTGTGGGAAACAAGGAAGACACTTCTCCGTTTGCAATTAGATAGGCCTTGGAGGCTTCACTTAAGGAAGGATGGAGGAGAATTGTTTGTTGTTTCCACCACAAAGAATTGATAAAAAAAAAAAAAATAGGGCTTTCAGCTTTCTTAATTGCGTTTTAGCTTTGGACAAAGCTTTGTTGGCTAGTAACTTTAGTTCTTGCGTTTTTCCTCTTATGTTGTTTGAGGTTTCTTTTCTCATGTTTGTTTGTGGTTTGTAGGTAGAGTGGCCTTCACTTGCCCGGGATTGCAGCATAGGTTTTGTTACCTAGTGTTGTCTTTCATGTAATCAGTTAATTGCTCGGTTGGTACTCTCTTTGAGCTTTGGTAAAAAGTTCATTTGTCGTTGAAAAAAAAAAAAATTGCTAAAAAGTAAATTTAGGAAGATAAAAAGGACAGGATGATTTCTCGGCAAAAATAACGCGTAGTTCACAGTCAAATACGAGTCAAGAATGAATCAAAATTTCAGTTACAAAATTAAAGGTTCATCCCTAAAAACACTTAATATATGTATATCCCATTAATTGAAATTCTAAAAGACAGAAACTACAACCGTATTACAGCTACAAATCCAATCCAAATGTAGTAGATTAAAAAATTTAATAAAATGACCGAAAGGCCCATGTTCTAGGTGTACGGTAAAAAACACGGACTTTACCGGAGTGTCGAGCATATGAAATGTGAAACCAAGCGCCCAAATAGTCAAAAGTGATGGTCACTGTGCTGAATGAGATTTCCGGCACAGAAACAATGATGGCTTTCACTTTGGGCATTCTCTTTTCAAGAAGAGCAGCAGCCAGCTTTCTTTACAGCCGAAACATCATCTTTAGAGCCAACGCTGATTGTTTGACCCTTTGGTAACGCTGCTGGATCATCTCCACCCTCGAGAGCTTTCCTGCTTACGACACGATGTATCTGCGTAAGCACTTCTGTGAATGCATTCTCGACATTGGTTGATTCGAGGGCAGAAGTTTCCATGAAAAAAGTCTTTTCTTTCTCGGCAAAAGCAGTGGCATCTTCTGTAGTTACGGCCCGCAAGTGGCGTAAGTCGGCCTTGTTGCCCACAAGCATGATTACGATGTTTGAATCTGTGTGATCCCGCAGTTCCTTCAACCATCTCTCAACATTTTCGAACGTGACGTGGCGGGTGATATCGTACACCAGCAATGCACCTACTGCTCCTCTGTAGTAAGCACTTGTAATCGCACGGTATCTGGATGATGGAAAAAAAGAAAAAAAAAATGAAAAGTGAAGAAAAAGTTCATATAGTGGTTATTTATAATTGCCAGTCTCATACTGTTGTACAGAACAATGGTAGAGGCAGCATAAGATAATAAATTACTAAAGATCATGCAAATAAGTAAAAACACAGTTTTAAAAACAAGGTAACCAAATGTAGGTTATGTATTCATTTAGTAGGCTACAACCAAAGGAAATAGTTCAGGGTATCCATACAATTGACATAGAAACACAATACAGTGAACCATGTAATGTACTACATCGATTTCCTGAAGGAGATTCCAATCATTTTCATTCATCTAACAGGGCAAGATTTCCTGAGGAATATTCCAATCATTTTCGTTCACCTAACAGGGCAAGCACCGAATATCTTCAGTGACAAACATAGACATTCAGTGGCACCAACTTCACAGACCAGCCAACACCCCTGACAGTCCTTTCTTTAAAAATAATGTGGTTCAATTTTAAGCTTTTTATTCTTTATATTCAAGACAAAAATGAGTAAATGCCATAGCCTATTCACACATGTATTGAAGAAACAAATTGCTTCATAAATACTCATTTGCCACTTCAATACCTTCTAGCAAGAAATACAGATAAATCAGTGACAATTATATTATCAATGGTAAAAGACATATATGATCTCTTTACTGATTGACCATGTCACTACTTTGCCAAAAGCCTGCTTGTCACATACTTGGCGTGAAGTATAAGAATTTAGGAGAAGTTATATCACAGTACTTTGTTCAGCTTTCATAAGCTGTTCCTAGAACAAGTTTGGCGACCACACTCACATGCTGCATCTAACTTAACACACACTGAACACCATCAGCTTGCCCACATATTTTAATTATCTAGCAAACGTGTAATGTAAATGAGAGATGGCTGAGGGACAGTTGGATTAAGGTTTCTGAAGTAAATGCCACGATAATAAGGGGTCTGGAGATTGCTTTATTGCGGTTCTTATAAAGAGTTGAATTTAGTTTGACTAAAATATGCATACAATCTATTCAACTATGTGGCGTATCCCAGACTGACATGTGATCTTTCGACAAACTTAGATGACTGCTATATTTTGGTTTCTTTCTTTTTTTCGTAGAATTGCCCCAAGTGAATTATAGGATACAGCACCTAGGACATTTCATACTGCATTTTGTGTTGATTTGGAGGGTGCCAGATAATATCGAAAGCAGATCTAGGGACAAAAATCTTGGTGCTATTGTCTTCATCTAGGCAAGCTCATCATCTTATTACATGCTCCAGAAATGGATAATAATACAAGATACAAATGTCGTACATATACCCATTAAGCAATAAACTCCATCGAAATTGATGCAACATCAACACCGAACATGATTCATTACAGTTGCTCAGATGAATCCCATTTCAGAATATAAAAGGTTTACCAACAACATCATTAAGGTATCCAGAAGA